GCATCGATTCACAGAGGTGAAGGTAACCGTCGCTAAGATCCAATTTTCAATTCCGATTGGGCAATTTCCGAAAGATTGAAGGACCTTACCAAGTCTGTTTGAATATGAAGTATGAAAATCATACTCTGTCAATGGGCACTTTGATAATATGAGGTTCGTGGTGACCTTAATTATTTATGTAAAATAACGGTATATTCGATTTATGGTAATATTTTGAATTCTTTTTCTTAAAGTAACCATTATCCGGGCCAATTGAGGCCGTTTGTATTACATTTTGTCATTTATGAACTCTTTGAAATTGGATTTGCTAAAAATTAGTTTTTTCATTTAAGTAGGCTTGATTAAAATTCAAGAAAAAAAATATCCATCACATGGGAGGATTTTAATTATAACTTTGTTATTGTCTGTGATATTGAAGTATGGGGAGTTCACGTGGCCACGATTAGTTTTTTAAAATTAGGAGCTAGCCGTGGAACATTTAATCGTTGCGTAGAAAAATTTCAAGTTTGCATTAGTAAACCCATTGTAGTATATACCTACCATCAGGTGTCGCCAGATACAATTGCATTTAAAGTTTTCGCGCGGAGACTTGGTATGTGATGTGTTGTGATCGTTGTGATTATATACTGATTTTGACCGTTGATTATGGTTGTCATGATACAGGTTCGATTTGACAGACGCTGATAAGTAATTTTGCATGCCAACTGAATATTTGATGAACTTTCTTTATAAGACTTCTGAAAGAACAAAGAAGCGAGCTGTGAACAAAACTACACAATGTGTTGGATGTAATCGCATGACGTATGGAAACTAATCTGAATCCGCGCGTTGTCAATGTTTATATATTTGTAAATAATACAGATAAGAGTAATTATACTTTCTTATTAGGTCTGATTAATAATGTTATGGAAGATGTACAATGTAAATAACACTTACCATTTTCTAAACTAATATATGCCACATTGGACATATCAGCAAGTAAAAAAACAAAAAACCGACAATCAGTCACGGTATTTAAACAATAGAACGAGGCAGTTCATGATAGAAATTTAATACAAAATGATTTTATTAAACACGCAAGGCAATGTTTGATATACCCTATCTAACAGATAAGACTCAGCTGACTGTATAGTGTATATAGTACAAAAGAGGTAAAAGAGATAGGAAAAAAGCTAATTACCTACCTATATACCAATTGGAAGGACTGACCCACATGGTCGAAATCGAAAGAAATTGTTTCCTTAAGTTTCTTGAATGCAAATGTTACTATCATGACTGACCCTAACTCAAACAGAAAATTCTACCACAACAGAGGAAGAAACCTTATTTTTTTAGAATTTGAATATTTCGTGTTTCTGAGAAGAATTGTTTATTGTTATATTGTGTTATTGTTGTATTGTTGTATTGTTTATTTATGTTCATAATTCAAAAAAACCGGCATCTAAATTAAGTGTTGACCATGGAATCGTCCACTATACGAGCGATAATAAGTAAGTTGCAAATCGAACTGAACGTGGGGAATTTTATCTTGAATATTATGTAACAAATATACAACGGCCAACGTAAATAAATTGGTCATGTAATACAGATAGAGTTATTACATTTCGCCGCTAGGTAAAATTAGTAGGTACACTTCCTACTTAATTTTATGGAAGATACAATGTACCTACAACACTTACCACTTTCTAAATTGGCATAAGCTACATTAAACATATCAGTGATCAATTGACAAAATTGATAACCATTCTTTCTAAATTAGCTATTCAAGCTGCACAAGTTTTCTATGCACATAATTTAAACAAACAATTGGCATATAAATTAAGTGCTTAACCTTGGAATCGTCCAGTGTTGCGATAAGTAAATTGGTCAATAGGCGAATGCAATTAATGTCGGTTAATGTAGGGAATTTTATAATCTTGTTTAGTCTCGGTTTTAGTGTAGGTACAAATATTGAAGAATTTCCTTGGTCAGTTCTGTGCAATAGCCTAAAATGTGAAAGAGAGTTGGGTCCAGTATCTATTATATATAAATAGTCATTACGACTACGTTTTCCAATACGCAGTCGTATAGTGACATTCCGGTAATATGTCGATAATTCGGATTTTTTCTGTCTCGTCTTTCAATCTGAGATGAAGCAATTAATAGTGTAAATTGGCTCCGATCAATCCCTCTGAGGGCTGCTTTCCGTTTTAATTAAATTACCTGTCAGATAACTTACTATCTCGCTTCCTATCTATATGAATACCCTTATGTTTCTCTTAGTGTCAAATACATTAAGGTAACGCTAACAAGAAAGACCGACCTTTTATACCTACTTTAGGTAGGTACCCTTACAAAAGTTTGGTAATATTCTTAGGTTCTTGATGTGGTTCAATGTAAATTCTTATTGCAATTTTTTCGTCTTATTTTATAGTATAGGTACGTTGGGACCTACCTTTCGCACCTTACTTTCCAGGCTAGCTCAGATAATCAAAATTTGGAAAAACACTAACTCAAACTGACATCTAAAAAGTTAAATAGGAATAGCTTGGATAGACTATGCAACTTCCACACTGGCGTATCTTGGAAACCAACTTTTTTATTCCGTTTATAACAAGCAATACCTAAGTGTCATGAAAAATACAAAAATTATATGCAGTGATAATTAACACTAAATCAAAACATGTTCTTACAATTTCTGCTGGCCAGATACTTAAATTTTTATCCTAATAAACAATATAATGGGCAATTCTAAGAAAGAATCAAATTTAAATTGTTAAATAAGCGTATTCCCTAAAATACGGAAGAAAATATATGCGATCTAGTTTAATTTAACTCGCCAGTAATTCGCATCAAACGATAACGATTAAAAATATAAAACAGTACCGTATCTTCATTGGAGTTGGTTGATACGAAGTGCCTCGTTGATTATTTATTGATATTTATTTATTTATTGCCCCTCTTGTTCTAGGCCCTCAACAAGCTTACAGTACAGAGTGACCCGCATAATACTTTTTAGCTTCTATTCGCGCATCGATTATCCAAAACTTCATTAACAAAACAAACGCAAGCAAAATAATAACAACAACTGGCAAATTTATAACAAAGCGCTGCTTATTTGTATGTTCCATTAATTATAAGGAGAATCTGCCGGATTAAAATGCAACTGCGGTACTCCAACGGCAACGTACATTAATTTCTACGCACTATTTTAGCAATTTCAAATACGGCTGATGTTGAGTTTCGAATTATTTACTTGCGCGACGAACTTTCGTCGGAAGCTCGCGCGTCGGCGTGGTAGCTTCGGTTCTCTTTTACAGAACAAAAATAAACGGCGTTTAATTACAAAAACGAAATTTAATGAAGGCAGTAAAAAAAGAAAATCCAGCGGTAAGCTACAATACAAAATATGTAGACGGTGTCGGGGGCCAACAATCGGGGAGAGGGAGTGCTTCGGAAGTCACCAACGGGTTCGGAAATTCTGCTTCTGGTCAAGATTAAGAAGGGCGGTGTAGAGGTGCTCAATGTCACTCGAACAACAGACGCCGTTCCAAGAATGCGGACGAGTTTCGAAAAATGGGCGGCCCACTTCCTAGCGGGATGAAGCAAGAAAAACAACATAATGGGCGGAAAAGCAAATGCGGGGAAGCGAACAATCTTCCACTCTGATAATTAGTGAAAGGGAAAGTAAAGCCCATCACAACAATGAAAAAAATACAGGAATAAGAAATATGAAATATGGAATAAGAAATAGTGACGCCCGTACACGAAAACACAACAAATAAATAGCAACAGACTATAAGCCATCAGAACACTCATGCCGTTTGAATTTATGGAATATAGGTAGAATACGCGTGCGCGCCTCTTCTAATGTCATTGGTTCGCAATATGAAATAAGGAATAAAAATTCGACTGAACGAAATTATTATTTCTTATTTCCTAGGCTTATTTCATATTTCAGTGTTGTGTGCAAATCCATAAAGATCAGTAGATTGAAAATTGTTATTTCTTATTCCTTATTTGTTATTTCATATTTCTTATTTCTTATTTTTTTCATTGTGTGATGGGCTTAA